ACACACACACACACACACACACACACACACACACACACACACACACAGAGTGAATGGCTCTCATTTTTCTACCTCACCTCAGTGCTTCACAGTCTTGGCCGTTCTGCTTTTCTGGGGTACTGCATTAAGTCACAGATGCTGAGATGAACCCGAGATGTCCCCCTAGCACATGCTAGGCCTAGCTGGCCTGCGCAGGGTTCCTGGGGTTCTCTGGAAAGAGCCCCACCGCTCTGCTGCCTACAGTAGCTTCCCTGCTCCAGCCTCCTCATTAAGGCCTTGGCGAGGTTGCGTCCCATCGCTCATGGGCTTGTTTGGAAGTGGGGGATGGGTTCAAGCTCTCTCTCAGTGGTCTCACCTTCCTCACAGTTCTTACATCTCCTAGTGGACACACAGCTCAGCGCTCTCTATCCCAGGGTCCCTTCCATCTCTGCAAAGGACCGCACACCTTATGGACACATACGAAGACCTTAGATGATTCCCATTCCCAGGCCCACTGCTCAGGGGGAGCTCAGAAGAGGACACAAGGGGACAGAGTCCTCTCTTAAGAATTAGTCAGCGGGGCAGCCTCCCTGCCTCATGCCAGCCTGTCTGCCTGCTTGCCTGCCTTCTTTTCCTGGGCGACAACGTCTCATTCTCTATCCAAAGCTGGCCTTGACCTTGTAGGAAACTTCCAGCCTTGGTTTGCAAAGGGCTGGGAATACTGTCATTAGCTACTGGCAGGATGAATATTTTTAACTATCGCATTGGAACAAATTGATCATTCAAGGGTCTCTGAAAAACAATCAGATGAAAAGTTATCCAATTCAGGGTGGCCAGGCCTTGCCATGCACTGCTCATTCTGTGGAGTGGTTTGTGTAGATTCAGACCCTGGGTATGTTCCCGGAGAGTCACTGGCAGCCAAGGGGGAAGGAGCAGTCTCCAATCAGGAAGTTTTCATATCTTTATCAGAGTACCACACAGGACACCACAACTGCTGTCCTTCTCTGAGTGTGCCTTCAGACAGGAACTGTGTGCACAAATCATGTGTAATGACCACAGGGCACAGACTTTGATGTTCAGAACTGCAATGGACAGAAGAGAATAGTCTGGGGTCATGGGACCCTGTGCTGCCAAACAAGACCAGGTATCCTGGGACAGAAATGCTAAGTCATTGGGATTCCCTGCATGAGCTCCACTTCCCATTAGGATACCACAATTGGGAAGAAAATTTCTTCTCAAACATCAGGTCAAGTCTAACTTTGCTCTGGGCTTGAGGGGACTCAACTGTGAAGTGCTTCTAAAGAACCTTATGTGTGGGTTCACGAACTCAGTAGGCAAGATCCACCCTCAACTTGTGTGGGCAATGTCAAGCATCTGGGAGCTGCACAGAATGAGTACAGGTACAGAGAAAGGCCCTTCCTCCGCGCCTCTCCTGGGATGGGCAGGCTTTCTTTGTCCTTAGTCCAGACCTCCCTGTCTGCTGGCCTCTGGAGTCTGAGGTGTGGACTTGTGTGCCCCTGCTTCCTCAGGTCTCTCGCCTCAGCCTGACACTCTCACAAGTGGCTTCCCTGGTCTGTGCCTTTCCCACACGTAGGACGTCAAGCTACCAGTACTGCAGAGCTTCCATCTGCAGAGGGCCTGATGAGGGGCGGCTTAGGTATATAGTCACAGAGCGTCGTCAATAAAGCAATGCTGTTGAGATGGGTAGCTCCCTTGAGCTGGGGAAGACTGACTCACTCACCGGTTTCTAATTGAGACACAGCATGGCAGTTTGAAGTTCTTCCTCATTTAAGCAGAGGTTTTGACTCATGATAGTTAAAGGCCATTTTTACATGACAGTCATGGTAGCAGGACACGCAAACACAGCACTCATCACACGTGGTTCTGTTACCACAGCGGAGTAAGTGGGACCGTGGCAGCGAAAGCCTGAGGACACAGACAAGGGGCACAGCATTCTCTGTGGTGCTCGGGGCTCCAGACTTCAGACACCTGTCCTCCAGCACTGCCTTCCCCTACCAGTGAGCTCCAGTCTCACTCCTGTGTAGCTGACCCGGATGCAATGGGGACCACTTCTACACAAGTCTTTTCCAAGTCATGAACATGTGGTGACTTACCTGGCCTTGTTAATGCCATATTTTCCCAAGACCAAGTGACTGATGCCAATGTGCTGGGGACTAACTCGTCAGAGGCTTCCTCTAGGCCATGCACCAGCAGGGTTTTGTCAGGTGTGGTTCCTACAGAAGAGGCCTCAGCCGTTGGAGATGACCATGCTGCACCTGGGTCCACCTCCCCACTCTTACTTTTTTCACCACTATCCACTGGCCCAGCTGGACCAGAGACCCCCTTGGCAAATCCTGAGGATTTTTCTAAGATGTTTACGTCTTCCCAGAACATATTGTTCTTTTCTACTTCCTCTTTCACTTTTTTTTTCTTCTACAGAAAGAGAAATGATTTAGGCTAATACTTCAAATTTCGGAAGAAAAGCCTTGTCAGCACAGAGACGACCAAAGTGTAGTTCTGTTTAGGCCTGACGTCTCAGCATAGAGTCCATGTGCCCCTCCATAACCCTGGTGCTGTAAATCACAGCCACTACCCCTTACTCAGTTGCTATATGGATATCTTCAGTAACAGCTAAGTCTCAATCTTCTCAGGTCCCGACTTCACGTGTGTGTTGGTCCCTATGTGTGTGCAAGTGAGTATGGAGGTTAGACATAGATTTTCAATGTGCTCTTCCAGGGTGATTTACCTTATTTTTTCTGAGAAAGGGTCTATAATTGGTCTGTAAACTCACACAGTTGGCCTGGCTGGCTGGCCAGTGAGTCCCGGGGTCAACCTGTAGCTGCCTTCTTAGTGCTGGGTCGCAAGCTCTCATAGCCCCGCATTACTTTTTATTATTATGAGTGCTGGGTTATTGGACAAAGCTCAGGTCCTTGTGCCTGCCTGGCAAGGACTTTATCGACTGAGACTCTCCAGCCTTCATTTAAGTCTTTGCTGTAATCTTGGTGCATTGTCTGTCCCCCGTAACCTGTCATCTACAGTTCTGTTCTTTAATCTCGGTGCACCTTCATTGTCTGTCCCCTAACACCCACAGTTCCATTTCGTACCTGTGTATACTGCATCCCGAGCAAGGCTGCACAGCTGAACCAGCTCCACAGTTGAACCGGCTGTCTTGGGGGTCTCAGGTGAATTCCAATTGGAAGTAAAGCCTCCAGTTTTGCTCCTGAAGATCACTTGAATTCAGTGACAGGTAAAAAACACAAAATATTATCAATAAACACCATTCAATGCTGTAGAAATGTTTGGATCAGAGCGGCTCAGCCCTCTGCTGACTATCAGCACCAGCACCCGGAACAGCCCAGCAGACAGACACACAGCGGTGTGTGTGTGTGTGTGACTCCAGTGTACATTCCTGCCCAACCCCGGAGCACCGCAGAGCCCTGGGCTCATCTCCATGACACTAAACTAACGATGCCCAACAAGACCCGCTGCATACCACTGGGAAGATGAGTACAAAAGGCTTTAGGGAGAAGCACAGGATCTACACTTTCCACAGCTGAGGTCTGAAGCACCTTATGTTGTAGTGAGAAAGGTCGCTGCGGTCAGGGCTCTTGCTGTGAATGTGGCAGAAATTTCACAGAGGTCTGTGCTCAGGTCACCCTCTTGGGCCCAGAAGCTGAATGTGAGAATCACAACCATGTGGGTGTTGGAGGTTGACATGTTTGAGTCACTGGCCTTTATGCCCCACAAATGAACTAATCTGTTAAAATCACAGACTCCACTAGTACAGCCCAGCACAGGCTGAGTAGCCAACACACAGTCCTCTGTCTCTGTGATCTCCACACTGACCTTGCTGTCGGATGCTGTTCATATTCCTTGGTGTATCGCTTTAGGTCACATTTCAGGCTCTTGGCTTTTGGAAAACGATTTTTCAGTCTGAGATGTAGCACTGAGATGGCGAATGTGAACAGTTCTAATGTCAGGAGCGACAGAAAGAAGACAGATCGGGAGAGGCAGCCGTGTCTCACGCGCATCGAAACCCCTGCCCTGCCATGCTGCCCGTCTGTACTGCTCTGCAGAGGCAGCACCAGCTCCTCCCTCTGCCCAGTGCTCAGGATCTGAGACTTCTGTGTGCACAGTTCTGTGCTGCTCTGGAGATTTTAGGGCAGCCACTGAGACAGGTAAGACCACCGTCATTGTCCCAGTGCCAACAGTGATTTCATATTTACTCTCCTTTTTCTGTTCTCCACAAAGCATCTAAAGGAACAGAGCAGAGTGACTAAGATGTATAGAAAATTTCCAAATGCCTAAATGAGGCCCTGAGGAAGTGTGGTCTCTGCACACGGGGTTTCAGAGACACCTGGAGTGAGAAGAGGCACACCCTGAAATCCCAACTCCCTTCCATCCTCATTCCCGCAGAAAGATTCGCACTCTTCAGTCAACCAGCACATTCGGCAAACAGCAGCTATCAAGAAGTATAGCTAAGCTGACATGGTGCTTGCTTGTCATCCCAGCACTCAGGAGACTGAGGACAGAGTTAGTGATCCTTAGAACCTCGAAGAAACAGGCTATACTGCTCAACTTCAAAACAGGAAATCAAAACAGCGGCCTCTTTCTTCCACTCCCAATAACAATATGGAACTTTGCTGATGCAGCACCTTGGTGTTTGTTTCTCATCAGGACACAGCCTCACCTTAGAGATCAAGTGATGATGACAGGAGTCACCAGGGCTGCTCAGAGGTAGGAGGGCGTGTGCCCTGGAGACCCTAGTGGGATGCTGGACCCAGGGATGCTGTTAACCTTCACCAACACATCAGTCCAAGAACCAGGAAAGATTCACGACTGTGTCACAAACTGCTTCAGAGGAGGGTGTGCTCAGAAACCCCGTGTGACAAACTGGTGTCTGGGAGGACCCGTGAGTTCCTGCTGAGGCTTACTTGTCTTTGGAGT